TATGGTGTGTTAGCTTTCATTAATAGAGGGATTGAGTTCAAGAGCCGTGAAGTTATGCTCCAGCTATACAAAAGCCTGGTTCGGCCACATCTGGAGTATTCTGTCCAGTTCTGGTCGCCTCATTGCAGGAAAGATGTGGAAGCATTGGAAAAAGTGCAGAGGGGATTTACCAGGATGTTGCCTGAAATGGAAGTTAGGTCTTACGAGGAAAGATTGAGAGAGCTAGGGCTTTTCTCTTCAGAATGACAAAGGATGAGAGGTGATTTGATACAGGTGTACAAAATGATCAGAGGTATAGATAGAGTGGACAGCCAGAGACTTTTTCCTAGGGTGGAGGTAGCTTTTACGAGGGCTTTTCTGCTCCTCCAATGCCGCTTGGCCTGCTGTGTTCATCCAGCTCTATACCTTGTTATCTCAGATTCTCCAGCATCTGCAGTTCCTGCTATCTCTGAATCTCCAATATTGTTCTGTCTGACTGCACCCTTTCCCTCTGAGCCTCAGAGCCGGTCACAGTGTCACTGACCTGATTACCACTGCTAGCCCCTGAAAGTCATTCTCCCCAACAGTATCCAAAGCCATGATGTGGAGGTGCTGGTGTTGGACTGGGGTGGACAAGGTCAGAAATCACGTGACACCAGGTTATAGTACAACAGGTTTATTTGAAAACACAAGCTTTCGGAGCCTCAGTCCTTCTTCAGGTGGAAGGAGTCAATATTTGGGATGATGAATGTGGTGCCAAATAAAAGGGCTCTTCTATCTTGTTTCAGAGATAGTAGGAACTGCAGATGCTGGAGAATCTGAGATAACGAGTTGTAGAGCTGGATGAACACAGCAGGCCAGGGTTTTGAGTTTTTTGAGTGCTGTTCCAGTTATACTCCTCCAGGCAACTAGGAAATTTGCTCTCTCACTCCTGGCCTGTGCCTTTTAGATGGTGAACAGGATTTGGGGAGACAGGGGATGAATTACTCATCACAGACTTTCTGGTCTATGACCTGCACTTGTAGCCAGAAAAGCAGAAAATGCTAGAGAAACTCTGGAGGTTTGTCAGAATCTGTGGTGATAGAAACAGAGCAACTGTTTCATTTCAGAACCCCAAAGAAGAATCATATTGTGTTTGAAACATTAATTCTGTTTTTATCTCCTCAGAGACTGCCAGACCTGCTGAGTTATTCCAGCACTTTGCTGTTTCCATTTCAGATCTCCAGGAATTGCAGTACTTTGCTTTTATCACAGAATCTGTATGGTTGTTCGATTAGGTTTGAGGTCAGTAGTCATCTCCAGGTAGATTTATGGTAGATTGAATCCAGTTCTCTTCCTTACACATGTGTTTATGTTCTTTTTTTCTAGAAGGGACAAAGAAACAGACTTGTGAGTGAGTGAAGATCAGTTACCCCCTGTTATCTCTACTGTTCATTCAGGATTGGCCTTTAAGTATCTGTCTTTGATAGTGCCATGTGGGTCAGCACCACGTCTTCTGCACAGCTTGAAGAATAAAAAACAAATTGTGATTCAATCATGTTGAAATCAGAGAATTGAATTGAGATTGCTGAACACTGACTGAGTTTCATCACTTGACCTCAGCTGCATTTTTGCACCTAATCTTTGTTACCCATTTTAAATTCTTCTCAGCTTGCAGATATTAAGTGTACAGATCAAGCCACATCCTCCTTATCCTTCTTAAGCTGTGAGATTTTCCATCCAGTGTTCAAGAGGACTTCGCCAGTAAGTAGTGAAATAATTGTGCATATTTTCACTTGTTAAAAGTTAAATAATCACCAAATAAAAACCGAAAGAACTGTGGATGCTGTAAATCAGGAACATAAACAGAAGTTGCTGGAAAAGCTCAGCAGGTCTGGCAGCATCTGAAGAAAAATCAGAGTTAACTTTTCGGGTCTGGTGACCCTTCCTCAGAATGTTAACTCTGAATCTTTGTTCACAGATGCTGCCAGACCTGCTGAGCTTTTCCAGCAACTTCTGTTTTTGTTAAATAAACACCAGACATTCATTATTCTTCACCGAAAACAAGCAAATGTGCACACGTGTGAGACAGTAATATGACATTGTATAACAACAGTAACATATACAACATATACATATAATACAACACTCTCCTCCATGTTCTATCGCAGGCACATCGATAGATGTTCATAAAACCAGATGTATGAATAAACATTTCTATATGATCAGAACTTTGATTTAACTTAACTAGGCAGGGTAGACAGGTTAATTCTTTGGGAAGCACAATTTTTCTAATCTTTCCTGGTATCTAAAATTCCTCATTCCTAGTATCATTCCAGTGAATGTCTTTTACATGCTTTGCTGGGCTTTAACATCCTTCCCTGAAGAAAGTGTCTGGAATTGAATGCAATACTCCAAATGTGGTCTGACCAATGATTTGTAAAGATGTAGCATCACTTCCTTGCTTTTATACTCTGTGACTCTACTTATAAACCCAAGGATCCTACTAATCCTCTTCACAACTGTTTCAGTTTGCCTGGCCACCTTCAGAGAATTATGTACTTGATCCCCAGGTTCCTCAGCTCCCATACTTTCCCCCTGAAGTTGTGCCTTTGAGCCTGTATTGGTCTCTCCATGTTTCTTTTACCAAAATGCAAGTTAAAGACAAAATAAAAGGCGATAATACAAGTTAGCAATACAAGTAAAAGTATTCAGAGTGTGACAAGAAGGGAAAAGAATGCCAAAATATATTACATTGATTACTATGATCAGAATAAAGAAGAATGGTTTTAAAGTACAGAGATAGGGAAGGACTCATGTGAAAGGAAATGTAGAAATCCAAATAGAAAAGTTGATGTAATATTGATGTCTATCAATGTGGGTAATACGAGTTGATGGGACCAGAAGCAGCAGAGAGTTTAATGGCAATAGTGCATCAGAGAGTCTGATCCATGCAAAGAATAGTTGTAAAATATAAAACTGCAGTTGCTTTATCTGAATGCGCAGAGAATCTGCAATAAGACAGATGAATCTGTGGCAAAAAGAGAGCTATGTGGTTTAGATCTAATTACTGTCATATAGATATAACTACAAAGTGATCAAGGATGGGAAACAAGTATTTCAGTGTAACAACATTTCAAAAAGACTAGCAAGAATAGAAAAAATGGTTGTGTAGGCTTAATAATAAAGGATGGTATGAAGAGATTAATGGAAAAGGATATTGGCTCAGAAAATCAGGAAGCAGAATTAGTATGAATGGGAATCAAAAATAGCACGGGTTAGAATACACTGGTTTATTTTCCCCCAACAGTACTTACCATTGCACAGTGCATTTAACAAAAAAAATTAGATCTTATAACAAAGGCAATAAAGCAGTTGTGGAGAAATTTAATCTTCATATGTTGTTTTTAAATTATTAACGGGATGTAGGCATCAGTAGCCGGGCCAGCATTTATTGCTCATCCCCAATTGTCCTTGAACTGAATGGCTTTCTAGGCCATTTCAGAGGACAGTTGAGAGTCAACCACATTGCTGTTGCTCTGGAATCACATGTAGGTAGCCAACCAGGTAAGGATGATAGATGACAGAATCACGGAATTATTATGGTGCAGAAAGAAGCTATTTGGCCCATCATGCCTTCACTAGCTCTATTGTCTAGTTGGACTGTATTATCTTGTGTCAATCTCCTACCTGTTCCCCATATTCCTATACACCATTTCTATCCAAAAAAATCCAATTCCATCTTGAATGTCTCAATTGAACCTATTCCGCTACATTTCCAGGCAGTGTATTCCATACTTCAACAACTTGCTGTGTGAAAAAGTTTTTTCTCACATCACTCTCAATTTGTTTGCACATCACTTGAAATCTATGCCAACTTGTTCTTGTTTCTTTTACAATGTGGATGTGAGGAAGAAAATAAACCAGGAGATAGAAAAGGCATGTAAGAAAGACATTATTACAATACTTGTGGGGAAATTGAAGTCAGATTAGGTGCGGGGTGAACTGTTTATATGAATACAGAACTAGCTTAGTCATAGAAGACAGAGAGTAATGATGGAAGGGTGTTTTTCTGACTGGAAATCTGTGACCAGTGGTGTTTTGCAGGGATCAGTGCTGGGACCCCTGTTATTTGTAATATATAAAAATCAATTTGAAGGAGATTGAAGGTAGACTGATTGGTAAGTTTGCAGATAACATAAAGATTGGGAGAGCTGCAGATAGTGAGGAGTATTTCCAGAGGATACAGTAGGATACAGACAGACTAGAGACTTGGGCGGAAAAATGGTAGATGAAGTTTAATCTGGGCAAATGTGAAGTGATATGTTTCGGAAGATCTAATGCAGAAGGGAAATATAGAGTAAATGGCAGAACCCTTAGTAGCATCAACATGCAGAGGGATCTAGGTGTACAGGTGCACAGTTCCCTGAAAGTGGCAACACAAGTGGATAAGATGGTCACAAAAACATCTGGCATGCTTTCCTTCATCGGTCAGGGCATGGAGTATAAAAATTGGCAAGTCATGTTGCAGCTGTACAGAACTTTAGTTATGGCACACTTGGAAATTGTCTTCTAAACACAAAGGTCTGGATCATTAATATATATCAGGAAAAACAAGAGTGCCAATACTGACCCCTGGGGAATGCAATTATAAATCTTCTTCCAGTCTGAAAAACATCCAGTGACCAATGCTCTTTATTTTCTATCTCGCAGTCAATTTTGTATCAATGTTATCACTTGACCCCGAATATAATAACCTGCAATATTCCTCACAAGTGTGTAGTGAGGCAATGTATCAAATGCCTCTGGAAATCCATGTATACCATAATTTCATGAGTAACCGTATGGATATTTACAACAATTAACATTGATTACATGGTTATCATTAGATTAGCTTTCAATTCTGATTTTCTATTGAATTAAAATTTCACCATCGCTGTCATGGGGTTCAAACTCATTTGCCCAAAACATTAACCAAGGGAACAAGGTGCAGAGCTGGATGAACACAGCGGGCCAAGCAGCATCCCTAGGGCTCTGGATTAATAGTCCAGTGACATTATCACAAATCACTGCCTCCCTACATACAGTCTGGACCAAACAAGTTAACAAATTTGACCTGGAAGATGTATTTATAGACTGCTTCTGTGACATTTTTCTGGAGCATATATTGTGAAGCCAGCTGAGGAGGTGAGTATTTCAGGTCTAATATTGTATGATGTGGCAGGTTTCAATGATTCACTGGGATGTAGTGACCATTCTATGATTGAATTCACATTAAGTTTAAATTACATACTTCAATCACAATAAATAATGTAATCATCATTGACGGTCATAAATACCAATCTGGTTCACTCATGTGGACACCCAGACCTCTTTGGACTGTAGTGTTCAGCATCCTCTCTTGTTTAAGATAAAAGGGATTAATTAGCAAGGGATGTGACAATATTGCATCAGAGCTCCTGGAACAGCTTGGTTCCCGTACTTGTAATTGACTGAATCAGTTATGCGCAAGAATCATCAGTTTAACTCCTCCTGAAGATGCTGCATATGGCAAAAAAACATGTCCATTCCAAAACCTGGGAAAGATCTTACACTAATGACCAGCAATTAACCATTTTACCACTTCTGTCTGCTTTACAAACTTTGAGCATCTTAACCTGCAAGCATGTCTCCAGATGTAGAGGCCATCTTTAATGTTGACCAGCTGATTTCTGTAAGAGTTGAGGCACACGTGATCAAGCATTGACATTCAGCACTGTTTACATTAAAAATGGTTTCCAGAAAAACTTCATGCGTATTGTTACTGAAACTCACAGCTGTCTACAATACAGTGTGACAAACTGATCGGCTTCAAAAGCTGCTTAGAGAGCTTCCAAATTGAGTTGTGATAACAAACAATTCAGAGTACACCTTGGACAAAGGAGAAATACATGGAAAAAACAGATGAATGAAATAATACAGGATTTGCTTCTAGCCCAACCCCGTTCACCATATATACAAATTATTGCCTACAACCAAATTCCTCAATTTCTTCTATTCTGATGACATCTATTGTGCCACCCAAGCTCTATCCTTCCATCTAGGCCTTAGTACTTGCCCTATCATATTGCATAGGAGAGTACTTTGCACTTATTTGGGAAAGGCCATTGCACACATCTCACAGACATTCAATTGAACATAACAGTGCACATCATAACTGTTTTGCAGCCATAATCCTAGCAGACCATAGGGCTGTTCTCTCATTAGAGAAAGACAACTGGTGGTGGTTTAACCTGAGGGTCACTATACCTCAGGTGAGAAGAGACATTGAGAAGGAGAGCCCTTCTTGTTAACCTTAGCCATTGCAGGAATTGAATCCATGCTGATGGCATTTCCAGCCAATTGAACTAATTAACCCTGATCTGGAATCCTTTGCTCAAAACTCCTTTGTCGGCTTCCTGTCCTCACAAGCATCATTAATCAATACATTCTCTGATGATAAAAACCCACAAGTTGATTGAAACCATTTGTGTTGAACTCACTTTACGACTCTATGATGACTTGTACAATCCACCGACTGCCTGTTTTCTATCTCAGTGTCCCACATGGAACAATCTTCCTGAGAAATATCTCCCGGAACACATCTTTTGCATCAAGGAATGCAAAATATGAGAAGTCACTAACAAGTTCCCTGGGACAAATCCTACTAAATGATAGGTAAACTTTGAAATAGCGCGATGAGACCAGTCTTTGGCTAAACAGTTCATACAGGCTAAGGTCCCAGTGCAGCCATCTCCTTTTCTCGGGCTTCAGTGCAATACAATGTATTTGTGGTGAGTAACAAACAATATCGCACAATATCGAGAAATGTCCTTTTTGTCTGCTAACTATAGACCAACCATTTTATATTCAACAAATAAGGATGCTGTTGTTTGGCTTTAGAGATTCTAAATGAACATTTCTCATCAGTATTTACTGTCAAGAAAAGTATGGATGCTTGTGAACTTGGGGAAATAAATAGTGATGTCTTGAAGAGTGTCCACATTACAGAAGAAGAGGTGCTGGAAGTTTTAAAAAGGCATTAAGGTAGAAAAATTCCCAGGACCTGATGAAGTGTATCCCAGGACTTTGTGGAAGGCTAAGAAAGAAATTATGGGGCCCCTAGCAGAGATATTTGTATCATCAACAGCCACAAGTGAAGTGCCCGAAATTGAAGGGTGTCTAATGTTGTGCCATTATTTAAGAAAGGTTGCAGGGAAATGCCTAGGAACTAGAGACTGGTGAGTCTAACATCTCTGGTGGATAATTTGTTAGAGGAGATTCTGAGAGACAAGATCTGTAGCATTTGGAGAGACAAGGACTCACTTGGGATAGTAAGTATGGCTTTGTGAGTGGGAAATCATGTCTCATGAATTTGAGTGAGTTTTTTGAAGGGGTGACCAAGAATGTAGATGAGGTCAGTGCAGTAGACATTGTCTACATGGACCACATGGTAGGTTGCTGAGTAAGGTTAAATCTTATGGGATCTGGGCAGAGCTAGCAAACTGGTATATAAAATCATGAGCGACATAGATGAGGGAGATAGCTGATAGGTTTTCCCTATGATAGGGGAGTCTAAAACTAGAGGATATAAGTTTAAGATGAGAGGGGAGAGATAAAATAGATTCCAGAGGGGCAATATTTTCATACAGAAGACGGTGAGTGTCTAGAACGGGCTGTCAGAGGTTGTGATGGAAGCAAATACAATTTTGTCATTTAGGAAATGGCAATATATTTCCAAGTCAGGATAGTGAATGGCTTGGAGGGGAACTTGCAGGTGCTGGTATTCCTATGAATCACCTGCCCTTGATGTGGCTGCCCTTCTACATGGAAGCAGTCATGGGTTTGGAAAGCACTATCAAAGCATCTTTGGCAAATTCCTGCAGTGCATCTTGTAGATTATATATATTTCTGCCACTGAGTGGATGCTTGTGGATGTGTGCCATCAAGTGGGTGTCATTATCCTGAATGGTGTCAAGCTTCTTGAGTGTTGTTGGAGTTGCACCCACTCAGGCAAGTGGGGACGTTTTTATCACACTCCTGACTTGTGCCTTATGGATAGTGGACAGGCTTTGGGGACTCAGAAGGTGAATCACTTGCTGCAGTATTCCAAGCGTCTGATCTGCTATCGGTAGCCACAGTGTTTATATTGTGAATTTAGTTGATTTTCTGGTCAATGGTAACGTCCAGGATGTTGATAATGGGAAATTCAATGGTAATCCAAGGGTTTGAATGTTACCTGCCACTTGTCAGCCCAAGCCTGGATATTGTGCAGATCTTGTTGCAATCGAACTGTACTGCTTCAGATCTGAGGATTTGGTAATGGTGCTGAACATGTTGTTGGAATGTTGTCAGGGCCTAAACCTTTGCAGTATCCTGTGCCTTCAAACATTTCTTGATATTCTTAATCTGATCATCTTTTGTAATGACAGGTGGAAGTTTCTATTTCTTGGGATCTTGGAAGTGCACCATTTAAGGAGGAATTTGCAAGTGTCAGCATTAATGTTAGCAAGTAAGTTAAGAGTCAAGTAGTTGTATATTTTTTGTTGATAATATTTTTTATTATTTTCTTAATTATTCCGCAATTCAATCAGATCTAATAAATAAATCTCAGAGGATGGAAGGTAAGGGAGATCAACAGAAGCTTAACCAATTGTGTGTACAAATTCAATATAATTTCCTTCTTTTATGGTTAAAACCCAGATTCATTTGTTTTTGGAAGAGGTTCTATAAGTGAGTATAGAGAGTTAGGACGTAAATTAGAAAATAGGACCTTTAAAGATAGCAGTCTCAGGATTACTACCAGTGTCATTTTGCTAATGAGCATAGAAATGTAAGGATATATCAGATAAATATGTGACTAGGGAAATGGTGTAGTGGGGAGGGTTACAGATTCCTTAGACATTGGTACTGGTTCAGGGAATTATTAGACTAGTGCGCTTATTGGTGCTGTGGGAGGGAAATGAGGGCGTGAGTGCAGGAGTGCAGGAAATGGGCCAGACATTGCTAAGGACCTGATCAGCCAGGGTAAGGTGAAATCCTTGGTTGATGAGAAAGACATACATTTCTGAGGCCATCCTAAAGAAGGTGGCATCATCAGAACAGCTGCGATGAAGATAGAGAAACTGGTAGGATGGAATGAAGTTGTGACAGGAAGCAGGATGTGAAGATGTATAGTCCAAGTAACTTTACAAGTCAGTGGGTTTATAGTGGATAGCGATGGCCAGCCTGTCCCCAGAAATGTAAGCAGAGATGTCAAGGAAAGGAAGAATCCGATATGAACTAGGTGAAGATAAGAGGAAGATGGAAATAGGAAGCAAAATTGATAAAATTTTTCCAATTCTAAATGAGAGAGGGAAGCAGCAATGCACCAGAGAAAGAGGAGAAGTTCAAAGTGAGAACAAGCTTGGCCGGGTGGATGAGGGTGGTGGTGAATGGGAATGGTTCAGGCCTTCTTTCTAGAAAGAAGCAGAGAGATTGCACATCCATGGTGAAGAGGAGGTGGCTGGTACACACCAACTGGAAATTCTGAAACTGATATAAAGCATCAGAAGAATACAAGTTTACAACACAAACATGGGTGGGACTGTGATTTGTCAGGACAATGCAGGGAGGCTTTAGGGCAATCTAGACAAGTTGAGTATGTGAGAAAGTTCATGGATATCTGTGAAGTAATACACTTCAATGTGAAAAACAGAAAGCCAGAGTACTATTTAAATAGTGATATACTGGGAAATGTGGATGTAGAAATCCAGGTGCCCTTGAACACCAGTCAATGAAAGTAGACAGGCAGGTACAGCAAGCAATTTGGAAGGCAATTGGTATATTGGCCTTCATTGCAAGAGGATTTGAGTTCAGAAGTAGGGAGGTCTTACTGCAGTTATACAGGGCCTTGGTAAGATCACACCTGGAGTGTTGCATGCAGGTTTGATCTCCCTACAAAGAGAGGATAAACTTACCATAGAGTGGGTGTAGGGAAGGTTCGCTAAGGTGATACCAGGCATGGCAGAACTACCATATGAGGTGAGTTTGTTTTCACTGGGCCTATATCAATGGAAATTAGAAGGATGAGAGTAATCTAATTAAAGGGCTATACAGATTAGGTGTAGGGAGGATATTTCCCCTATGAATCACTGGTCACAGTCTTAAGATATGTAGTTGGCCATTTAGGATTGAGATAAGAAAATATTTCTTTGCTCAGAGGGTGGTCAACCTGTGGAATTTGCTATCGCAGAAGTCTGTAGAGGCTGGGTCACTGAGGATATTCAAGGAAGACAGTGATAAATTTTTAGACAGTAAAGGCATTGAGGAGTATGGGGAGAAAGCAGGATAATGGTATTGAGGTAGAGGATCAGCCATGATTATAATGAATGGTGGAGTAGGCTCAAAGGGATGAATGGATTACTTCTATTCCTAGATTCCTTGTTTGTAGAATCCTATTTACGCCTTTTTTTCTGCTCCATTTCCCAGAAAACTACACTTCATATTTTGCCCCTACTGCTATACTGACCATTTAATGTCCTCTTAGGGTCTCTACCATTTCCCTTGGTTTGTCTTGGCCATGATGTGATATAATTTGCAAAATTTTTATTATGCCCATATTATGAAATTATTTATTTATATGGTAAACAAAGAACTACATCCCTGGAGAATAATGTCCTGCCAGTCTGCAAAATATCTATATACCCCAACTCATTTTCTTCTACTCCCTAACCATCATCATGAAGAAAAAGAAATAAGATGTAATTAAATTAATCATTAGCTTTTATAGATCTTGCCAACTATTCCTGACTGGCCTGTATTAGTTTATAGAACACAGAACAGTGCAGCACAGGAATGGGCCCTTTGGCCCATAATGTTTTGCCACACAGTACGCCAAATTAAATTAATCCCTTCTGCCTGCCCTTGATTCATATTCCTCTATTTCTTGCATATTCATGTACTTATCTACAAGTCCCTTAAACACCCCTATCATACCTGCCTCCACCACCAACCCTGGCAGTGCGTTTTTGACTCTTACCACTCTCTGTGTAAAATACTTGCCTCTCATATCTCCTTTGAACTTGCTCCCTCTCACCCTAAATGCATGTCCCCTAGTATTAGACATTTCAACTTTGGGGTAAAGATTCTCTCTATCAACCCTATCTATGCATCTCATAATTTTATAGACTTCTATCAAGTCTCCCCTCAGCATCCACCGCTCCAGAGAAAACAACCAAAGTTTTTCTAGCCTCTCCTTATAATTCATACCCTCTAATTCAAGCAACATCCTGGTAAACTTCTTCTGCACCCTCTGCAAAGCCTCCACATCCTTCCTGTAGTGTGGCGACCAGAATTGAATGCAATACTCTAAGTGGAGCTTAAATAAAGTCTTATAAAGCTGCAACATGACATCCTGATTCTTGTACTCAATTCCTTGACCAACAAAGGCAAGCATGCCGTAAGCCTTCTTTACCACCCTGTCTACTTTTGCGGTCACTTTCAAGGAGCTATGGATTTGAATCCCAAGATCCCTCTGCATATCAATGCTGTTCAGGCCCCTGCCATTACCTCTATACTTTTTCTTAACATTTGACCTCCCAAAGTGGAGCACCTTACATTTACCTGGATTAAACTCCATTTGCCATTTCTCCGGAACTGATCTGTATCCCACTGTATACTTTGACAACCTTCCACACTATCCACAACTCCACCAATCTTTGTGTCTCCTGCAAATGTACTAACCCACCCATCTACATTTTCATTCAAGTCATTTATATATGTCGCAAACAGCAGAGGTCCCAGTACAGATCCCTGCAGAACACCACAAGTCACGGACCTCCAGCCAGAAAAATACCCTAACACCTCTACTATCTGCCTTCTATGGGCAAGCCAATTCTGAAACCAAGCATCCAAGTCACCGTAGATCCCATGCATCTTAATCTTCTGGATGAGCCTTCCATGAGGCATTTTGTCAAAAGCCTTACTAAAATCTGTGTCGACAACATCCACTGCTCTACCCTCATCGATCACTTTTGTCATCTCCTCAAAAAATTCAATCAAGTTAATAAGACATGCACAAAGCCATGTTGATTGTCCCTAATTAGGCTATGCTTTTGCAAATGCCCGTAAATCCTATCCCTGAGAATTCTCTCCGACATCTTCTTGACTAATAATGTGAGACTCACTGGTCTGTAGTTTCCTGGATTATCCTCATTTCCCTTCTTGAACAGAGGAACAACATTAGCTACTCACCAGTCCTCCAGGATCTCTCCAGTGCCTAGCGAGGATACAAAGATCTTGGTCTTCCCTCTCTTGTCCCTCTCAATATCCTGGGGTAGATACCATTGGGCCCTGGGTACTTATCCACCTTAATGCTCTTCAAGAGACCCAATACTACTTCTTTCTTGATCTCAAAATGTCCTCACATATTGGCATGCTCCACTCAAATCTCACTATCTTCCATATCCTTCTCGTGAGTGAATACCGACACAAAATACTCATTTAGGATCTCGCCTACATTCTCTGCCTCCAAGCACAAGTTCCCTCCTTTATTCTTCAGTGGTCCTACCATAGTTATCCTTTTGTTTTTAATGTATCTATAGAATACCTTGAGATCCTCTTTAACCCTACTTGCCAAGATCATTTCATGGCCCCTTCTTGCTCTCCTAATTCCCTGCTTGAGGGCCTGTCTGATTTTAGCTTCCTAAACCTTGTATATGCCTCTTCTAAGTTTCACTAATTTACAAAATCTAGATTTACCCACACCCCTAAGTAGCTTTCTATCATTTGCTGGTTTCCAGTACATGGGGGATAATTTTATTTCCAAAAATGTTCCAAGATTGTGTCTTTGTAATGTCTGTCCTGCTCTCTTGCAGTATTCTGGTTGTATACTAATAGAGCTTGTGGCTTCTATTTTCATTTCAATTAGACAATTTTTTAGCACTAAATCTTTTAAGATGTTTATTCAGTCATAGAATAAGTTGAGTTAAGTTGATCTTATCTTTTTCACAGTAAAAATGAAATTGGAGTTGCTGTTCATGATACCCATAATATTCCTGTGAGACATGGCTTCAATGTCTTCCTGAAAGCAGAGTAAGTAATATATAGAGATTAATCTTTTGTTTTCTGATTTGGATGAGGGTGCTGCTGGCTAGGCTGGCATTTATTGGACAACATAGAATATGAGTTCCCTGATTGGAGCTGTTAATCTGCTCTACTCAGGGAGCCCTGGCTGACATATAAAAAGGGCGAGTGTCAGAGATACTGACACTCTGATTCCTGACTCTGTATGAGGCAGTACTATAGTCAAGGACTGTTCATGTGAAAGTAAATGTGACTTGGTCATGGAATACTGCCCTCTGTGAAGTTATTTTAGGAAGGTTCAAAAGAAAGATGCCTGAACACTAAGAGCTTGGCCAGCTGAAGAAGGATCATCTCAACATCAGAATCAGGGATCAAAGACCTCTGAACTGACTTTCTAGATTCTTTTTTACCTCCACAAATAATCTGTTTTCCCTATTTGACTTTCAGTGTGTGGGAATAAACGGAAGGTTATAAGGGGATTAGAGTTTTAGTTAGTCATGTTATATGCTAATGGTTTATATCTGTTGATCTGTAACTAAAGTTTATTTTCCTATAATAAATAATAATTAAGAATCATGTAGGTGATGGACTAGTAGTATTATCGCTAGATTATTAATTCAGAAACTCAGCTCATGTTCCGGGGGCTCTAGTTCGAATGTCACTTCAGCAGATGGTGGAATTTGAATTCAATAAAAAAAATAGAAAAACCCAGGGCATCAACACCTCATTACAGCCTTGCTTCAAACATCGGCAAAAGAGCTGAATTCCAGAGGTGAGGTAAGAGTGACAGCCCTTGACATCAAAGCTGCATTCGACTGAGTGTGGCATCAAGGAGCCCTAGCGAAACTGGAATCAATGGGAATCAGGAGCAAACACTCCGGTGGTTGGAGTCATACCTTACACATAGATGGTTGTGGTTGTTGGAGGTCAGTCATCTCAGCTCCAGGTCATCTCTGCAGGAGTTCCTCAGAGTAGTGTCCTCAGCCCAATTATCTTCAGCTACTTCATCAATGACCTTCCCTCCATCATAAGGTCAGAACTGGGGAAGTTCACTGATGATTGCGCAATGTTCAAAACCATTCGCGACTCCTCAGATACTGAAACAGTCCATGTTCAAATACAACAAAATCTGGACAAAATCCAAGCTTGGGCTGACAAGTAGCAAGTAACATTCGTGCCACACAAATACTAGGTTATGACCATCTAAAATAAGAGACAATCTAACCACCGGCCTTTGGCATTCAATGATGTTACCATCACTGAATTCCCCGCTATCAACATCCTGGGGGTTATCATTGACTAGAAACTTAACTGGACTCACCACATTAACACAGCGGCTACAAGAGCGGGTCAGAAGCTGGGAATACCTCCTGACTCCCCAAAGCCTGTCTACCATCTACAGGCACAAGTCAGGAGTGTGATGGAATACTCCCCAGTTGCCTGGATGACTGCAGCCCCAACAACATTCAAGAAGTTTGATGCCATCCAGAACAAAGCAGCCCGCTTGATTGGCACTACATCCACAAGCATCCACTCCCTCTATCACCAACGCTCAGTAGCAGCAGTGTGTACTATCTAAAAGATGCACTGCAGAAGTTCACCAAAGATCCTCAGACAGCACCTTCCAAACTCACAACCAGTTCCATCTAGAAGGACAAGGGCAGCAGATATATGGGAACATCATCACCTTCAAGTTCCCGGCCAAGCCATCGCCATCGTGACGTGGAAATGTATTGCTGTTCCTTCACTGTTGTTGGGTCAAAATCCTGGAATTTCCTCCCTTAGGGCATTGGGGTCAACCCACAGCAGGTGAACTGCAGCGGTTCAAGACGGCAGCTCATCACCTGCTTCTCAAGGGCAACTAGGGATGGGCAAGAAATGCTGGCCAGCCATCAATGCCCACATCTGACAAACAATTAAAAAAAATATACCTGTTAGTGCAGAAACATGGTGCTATCAACATTGCTCTGAAAGACAGGTAAATTGGGATATGCTATTTGCTTTTAAAAAAGCTTTAATGCTTGGTGTGACTCTGTGAATTACTGGGCTCAATTTACAGCATGCTATCTCAGGGGTCATAACAGTACCTACATAGGTCACTTTGACTGGATCCTCCCCCTTTCACTTAAATTCCCTCGAATCCTGCAGGCAACACAGTCTCCTGAAATCTCACTCTTTGCTGCTGAAAACTATGTTAATCTCTAATACTATACATCACCCTACAACTACTACTTTCATCTTTGTTCGGCCCCAGTAGAATTGCTTCCTTCACTGTGGTGACATGGTCAACTAGCTGTCCTACTCTGCAGCGCTCACTCTCATCCAAACAAGCTGAGAGTGCCTTAAATCTGTTGAATAATTGCCAGGCTGACCTTCCCCCACCCTCTGTGTTCCAACACCTCATTCAGAGTCACACCCTCCTAATCTTAATCCCATAGTTTGCTCCTGGAAAAGTATAGGAACATAGGAACAGGAGTAGGCTATTCAGCCCTTAAGCCTGTGCTGCCATTCAATAAGATGATGGCTGATCTGTAGATCAGTTGTTTTGTAACCAAGGCTACCCATGGAAATCTGGTGCTTGTCATCTAGGGATGTCCACAACATCTCACCAACACAAGTAACAAAACATTCATGTTTAAGAATGGCCATCATTCAGCAGGCAATGGAATCTTGAAATTATGAAAGATCCTCCAACAGAGTCCCACCAGAGAGTCAGACATCATTTTAACACTTGCTGATCTCCTCACAACCTCTTGTGTGATGAAGAGTACAGAAGAAAACCCAGTTGAAAGGATAATGGCCCGGGACAGCTGGGAGGTAGCTTGAAACCAAGATTTCCAGCTGTTGGACTTAGCTAGCAAAATTGAAAATAAATGTTCATGATCACCTATGAAGGAGCAAGCAATTATGGTTCCCTATTTTAATTATTACCTGTTAGCTACTGTTAAAAAATCTGCACATCTAGTCAAGACTGGGATCAACTGTGCTCTTCTTGCCCCACTAACCCAACATTGCCCTCCCAAAACCACCCCAAAACCTCTGGACAAAACTGCAATCACTCACTCAAAATGACGTTCTACATGAATAGTAACCTGAAGGGCAAGCACTGGATGTGACTAATGCTAGCTCTCTACATGGCTTTTGTTATGACCCACTGGGTGCCGTGCCATAAATCAAGACTCTCTATTCTTGGAGCCAAATCAAATGTTAATTTTTTTTTTAAAGTACAGACCATTCCCCAATTTAGCTCAAATACAGGAAAATACTTCCTGGTTCTATTGTTGAGATGATTGAACTTCAACCAGCCAGGCCTTTGGTCTTCAGTTATCTTTCTCCAGAAGCTTCCATTGGTTTGTAAGAAGTGCAGAGTCACTGGCTCACTTGGAAAATGTGTCTGATTCATCAATTCAAAAGTAACAGCTCACAGCAACTGCTGCAGGAAATGTAACTGGTTTTCTTCAAATTTATATTGACTTCTTTATTTACTGCTGAGAACATAGTTTCTGCTGGGGAAAACAACAGGAAGCCCTCTGTGTCTTTCCCTCTTTTTGTGCCTGTATTTCTGTGACTTGTTTCGAGTTCCAACCTTCTCAGTCAGATGAGAACAAATCAACTTGATTTATAAATAATTCCTCAGCTCCTGATAATGTGTAGATCGCAGAAACCCATAACCACAACTGGATCCTTCCTCTCCCACTCCAAGTTGTTCTCCAGCCCAGAGCAGATATCCTGATCCCTGGAACCAGACAGACAACAGCCATCTGGACTCTTACTTTTTGCCAAATTCATCACTCACATTTCTCAGTGTCAAATTCCCTTTCTCATCTAACTGATCAGCATGTGAATTTCTTGTTGGGTGGAAATACATGAGGAAGTCACTTTTTTGATATTTCTGATCTCTGACAGTAGCTACTGTATTTATACAGTGGCCATGGTCAGATTTGAACCTGTGTCCTCAGAGTATTAGCGTTGGCATTTAGATTATTGGTCCAGTGAATTACCACTTTGCCACTGAATTATATTGCTGTATCGTCACTACTTTCATTGGACTTAATTCCTAGAACTCCTTCTCTAACAGCACTGTGTAGGTACTGACCCCACAAAGACTGTGGCAATTCAAGTTCACTGCACATTCTGAAGAACAATAAGCGTTGGCAATAAACATTGAATTTACCAGAGACTCTCAGATCCCAGAAATTAGTAGAAGAGATTGGCGGCATTGCAAGTTTTTGCATTGAGTGAGGCTCTGTATGAAAGCTAATGTAAGAAATTTTAATTAATCAAGATGTTCAATTTGTTACAGAAATCAAATAACAGAAGTTGACATTTCCAATGGAGCTGAATTTGAGACTGTTAAATTAAATTTTCAGGTATGTGTGCTGTGTTTACCTGTGATGAATTCTTCATTATGAGTTTGGATTAGGATTTGTTACAATCATTCAAATCTGCAGAGTGATAGAATTGTTATTGCTACATCCAAAAAGATAAAGCATACAAAAAAAAAATAGATTCATTCAACAAACATTGATACATTTTAACAGTTTTAAAGGAAATAATTTTATTCTGAATTTGGCACTATTAGGGTTTAAGGTTAATCCTATGGGTGAGTAGAGAGGTGTTAATTTTAGGATGTTTGCGATCACAATTACCTAAAATTGGCACTTGGCAATTTATTACAATTTTCTGATAATTAATTGAGAAGCAGCAGTTTAGATATGGGACGTAAATTAATTAGGCAAAGATAAGAAATGTACAATCTGTTACAAATGAGAATATTTTACTGATCCTGGAATCATTTTGTAGATGGAAGAGTGGAGGTAGCGCACTCCCATGTCTCAGAGGTCCAGCACGATTTTCTGGTGGTCTTTGGTAGTCGTCTTGTTACCAACAGTCTTTGTTCATCCCTCAGACCGATGCATGGGAACTCCCAGACTTTCCCCAAAGAGATGGTGTGGCTTATTTCATGGATCTTCTTGCCACTTCCTCCCATCCTGTCCCTGTTAATATACGTTATTTTGGGTAATAAAATAAGGCAAAGAACTGGAGATTCTGAAACCAAAACAGAAACTGCTTGTGAAACTCAGATCTGGCAACAGTTCTGATGAAGAGTCATTGGACTCAAAATGTTGACTCTACTTTCTTCTCACAGATGCTGCCAGACCTGCTGAGTTTCAACAGCAATTTCTTTCTTGTTACCTCATCACAGAGGTTGGCTATCGGCATAATATCAATCACCTGTCTAATCTCACTTGGCCAATAGTCATGGGGCAGTTATTCAGATGACTTATCCCTTTGTCTACCTCTATCTGAAGGTTAGTTTTCATTCCTTCAAGAATCATTTTTATTTTTAACAGTACATTGACAACGAGCTAAGGATGACACCTGATAAATCTTTGACAGGAGTTGGAACCTCAATGATTCTTATGATCTCTTCTTCATTTTCATGTAGAGATCTGTTTATGTTTGCAAAAGGTTAGTTACTAATGTGGCACAGATGAGGTCTCATGAAATGTAGGAAATACCAAATTTGGAATACTGATTTAACACAGGTTTAAGTGGACTCCCAATTCTCAACAAAAAGGATAAACTATTTAATCAGCAGAACGGTTGATAGTCCATAGGATTGGGTTCAAAAGAATTGGCCAAAAAAAGGGAGATGTTTTGCTTAGCAAATTATACTCTGGAGTGCACTTCCTCAAAGGATGGTGGAAACATTTTCAATTGGAAGAATCTTGTGCTGCTGCCATGAGGAGGAAGCAAGGTGGGTGATCAAATCAGATTCCTGTTGGTTGGCTGAAAGTTCTCAGAATTCTAAAAGTGGAGCAAGCTTCCTGATCGCAAGTGTTGTGAAGATTTTTTTGCGACAATTTGCATGCCATACATGTTTATTTGAAGGCCAGCTTCCCAGAATTAAGTTCTCCCTGTGAATTAAGTTCTGTACAAGTGACCAATATACAGCTTCAGGTTCATGACTGTAAGACTATAACTATATAAGTGGCATGCTGCAAGTGAGGTAGTCATCTTCCTGGACTTTGGAGTGGGTAGCCGTAAGTTTGGCCTCTTTGAGAAGAGTTTGTCTATGCAAGTCATGGTTCAGATTAGTGTAAATTGTATGGGGTGAGATGGTGACTGAGGAAGTGATGCTGGAGTATAATGGGCATAGTGTGGAAATTTGACTAGGGAAGGGTGAAATTGCCAGATGTTTAGCTGCAGATGACTATGCCAAGATACCAAGTGAGTCTCCTGGCTTGCAGGGAATGTCTGTCCTGCTGGCCTTAAAATAGGGTGTCTGGACCTTCAATCCCCAAGGTAATAGCAATTGTGAACTTCATGCCTGCCCTCACCACTAGATTCACCATGTTTCTCTAAAGCATATGCAATGAGTTGACAACCATGTAATCATGCCAGAAAAAAACTGACCTGTCCTTGAGGGAAATGATACTCATTCCACATCCACTGCTGAACCTGTACTTCAGACTGAAATATTCTACCTAATAGTTACAATCCAAAGGAAATTGGATAAATACCTCAAAAAAAAAATCATTGCTGTCCTATGGAGAAAGAACATGGATGGGACTATATGAAGCTTTCAAAGTTTACGACTTTTACAGGCATCTTGGTACAATGCCATTTGCATTGTTACATGATTCTATCATTTTAGCTGTTTATTACGAGGAGTAGTTCCAGTAGTATAGATGGATTGAAAAAAACCTATCGAGGGAAAAGGGATTAAAGGATTATGACAGATTTAGATAGAGTCATACGGTCATACAGCATGGAAACAGACCCTTAGGTCCAACCCGTGCATGCCGATGGGATTTCCCAAAATAAATTAATTCCATTTGCTTGCATTCTGCCCATATCCTCTAAACCTTTCCTATTAATGTACCTGTCCAAATGTCTTTTAAATGTAATTTGCCTGCATCCACCACTTCCTCTGGCAGTTCACTCCACATACGGACCATCCTCTGTGTGAAAAAGTTGCCCCTCAGGTCCCTTTTAAATCTTTCTCCCCTCATCTTAAACTATGTCCCCTAGTTTAGAACTCCCCTACTCTAGGGGAAAGACCTTTGCTATTTACCTCGTCTACACCCCTCATGATTTTATAAACCTTGATAAATTCACCCCTTAACCTCCTATGCTCCAGGGGAAAATGCCTCGGCCTATCCAATCTCTCCTTATAACTGAAACCCAACTGGTTGCCACATTACCAAAAGGATGTAGATGCTTTGGAGAGGGTACAGAGGAGGTTCACCAGGATGTTGCCTGGTATGGAGGGCGCTAGCTATGAAGAGAGGTTGAGTAGATTAGGATTATTTACATTAGAAAGACGGAGGATGAGGGGGGGACCTGATTGAGGTCTACAAAATCATGAGAGGTGTAGACAGGGTGGATAGCAAGAAGCTTTCTCCCAGGGGTCACGATTTCAAGGTGAGAGGGAAAAAGTTTAAGGGAGATATGCGTGGAAAGTTCTTTACGCAGAGGGTGGTGGGTGCCTGGAACGCGTTGCCAGCGGAGGTGGTAGAGGCGGGCACGATAGTGTCATTTAAGATGTGTCTAGACAGATACATGAATGAGCAGGGAGCAGAGGGATACAGATCCTTGGAAAATAGGCGACAGGTTTAGATAGAGGATCTGGATCGGCGCAGGTTTGGAGGGCCGAAGGGCATGTTCCTGTGCTGTAATTTTCTTTGTTCTTTGTTTAATGAGGAAAGATGAGTCTCAAGTCTAGTACTAGCACCTGCTTGGACTTGCTTAGCCAAATGACCTGTTTTGTGTGTTTTGTATCCTATCTATATAGCTATGGTATTAACTGTATTTCTTCAATAGAATGTATATTCTGTCTGCTCCTGTCATAGGTCACCATGGAGAACCCTTACAATGCTTCGGTGTGTCTAGTATTATCAATCCCAGTGAAAATACAGAATCGACAAATACTTGACCCTCAACAGGTAATTTAATCTGATTCAAATCAGTCATTAATTTCAGCAAAATCAAAATAAACCATTTTCAGAGAAAAAAACATGAAATGTTCTTAAACATTTAATTAAACACTGCATTGATGACAAAATTGATGAAAAACGTTTACCAATAATAGAACTATACAAACTGCAATGTCAGACATATGAATAATATATATCTGTACAAGGTCCAGTATTAGAGCATCAGGACAAGAATTGAAATGACTCCAGTATTATGGGTATCAATACTTTTACTGGAATGAATCTAGTCTGGCTTTGGTAGCTTGGTGTTTTAGTACTGGACAAGTAATTCAGAGGCTTGGGATAATTAGCGATATGAGCACAAATCCTGGTTGGACACTTGGTCTTTAGGACACAAAAGCTGCACACCTGTGATTCACTGGCAACTTCAGGTGAGCCGTTCACCTGTGAGTAGCTGAGTGGTTTGCAGAATTTTGCCAGTGAGCTCTTAACAACATGATTGGTGCACAACATAGTGAGCTTTCTTGCTGGTGGGTGTGATGAGTTTGTCATTACCTACCATGCATGTGTTCTCACAAAGGGAGCTTCTCAGTCTACAATTCTCTGGGCTGGATATTACAATGCATCCCCTGGCAATTTTCAGCATAAGGATATGCAAATAGGTCAGTGCCTTGCCCACTAATTTCCAATCCACCCCTGAGTGGTTCACATGACGCTGACGGAGGGTCAGCACTGAAATTGACCCATATTTATAAATGAATAACTACGAATCAGTTAATATTGTCAAAAAATGACTGGAATGGACAGTCGATGGGAGTGGGCAGACCATTTTTAAAGGTCTACCTGAACAATGGCAGGAACGAAGGGAGCTATCTTATGTTGGGGGTGTTCTTGTAGGAATATGTAACTCCAATATTCTGCGTGCCTCACAGAACTTGACCCACCATTCCTCTTTCTCCCACTTCCTACCCTGTAAGAGCCCTGACCACCCTAAAACCCTGGGATATACTTTCACAGGGTAGCTATGGTCCTTTGCGAGCTTCTTCCTATAGTATACGACAGCTCTTCCAAAAGCACCAGTATTCTAGCACTGCTGGGGGCTGATGGAACTGCCATCCAATCAGCTTGGCCATCAGCTCCCAATGGGATTTCCTCCTAAACGAAGAGTAGAAGACCCATAATTAGGCAATGTGGCCCACCCACAGTGCATTTTGGTTGTGAGCTGCTTCTTTTTGATCTGTGAACCGACTGCTTGCTGCAGAGGTGGGGTGAGCCTGGCAAACTGTCCACTTGATGGTGGTGGTTTTAAGGAGCATCAAAGGAGGATGAAGATGATGAATTTTCAAGAATGGCGCTTTTGTGCGACTATTAATCTAGAAACTCAGCTAATGTTCTGGAAACTTGTGTTCGAATCCCACAAAGGCAGAAGATGGAATTTGGAATCAATAAAAAATATTTGGAATTAAGAATCTACTGATGACCATGAAACTGTTGATGATTGTCAGAAAAAAACCCATCTGACTCATTAATGTCCTTCAGGAAAGGAAATCTGCCATCCTCACCTGGTCTGGCCAACATGTGACTCCAAGGCCATAACAATCTGGTTGACTCTCAGCTGCCCTCTAAAATGACCTAGCAAGCCACTCAGTTGCATCAGCCTCACAAAAAAATGAAACCAGATGGCCAACTAGCATTGACCTAGGCACCGCAAAACACAACAGGAGAAATAGCCCTATCAACCCTGCAATGTCCTTCTTACTAACCTCTGGGGGTTAGTGCCAAAACTGGGAGAGCTGTCACCAGACTAGTCAAGCAACAGCCTGACATAGTCACACTCTCAGAATTCGCCCATACAGACAATATCCCAGAAACCATCATCACCATCCCTGGATATGTCCTGTTCCACCAGCAGGATAGACCCCACAGACTGATGGCACAGTGGTATACAGTCAGGAGGGAGTTGCCCTGGGAGTGCTCAACATTGACAGTGGACCCCATGAGGTTTCATGGCTTCAGGTCAAACATGAGGAAGGAAACCTCCTGCTGATTACTACGTACCCTCGGGGTGAGGGGTGGGCGCATGACGGCTCAGTGGTTAGCACTGCTGCCTCACAGCGCCAGGGATGTGGGTTCAATTCCAGCCGTGGGTGACTGTCTATGTGGAGTTTGCACATTCTCCCTGTGTTTGCATGGGTTTCCTGCTGGTGCTCTGGGTTCCTCCCACGGTCCAAAGATGTGCAGGTTAGGTGGATTACATAGAACATAGAACATTACAGCGCAGTACAGGCCCTTCGGCCCTC